AAACATTGATTGCATAAAAAAGTTGACAGAAGACTAAACTGAATCCTCATCGATATAGTGATATTGAAAATGGGTTTGTTTCGGTGATTTATAGTAGGTAAATATGGGGAATATACATACATCGTATGGACAATGATCTTTCTTATTCGAACGATCTATCTTTCAAAAGGATTGTTACAAGTTAGAAAACGAAGAAGAAAAAAATCTAATAGAAAAAAGAGAAAAGGAAAAGAAAAGAAAAGAAAAAAAGGAAGGAAGGAAGGAAGGAAGGAAGGAAGGAAAGAGTATGGTTAACATGAAAACTTCCTATTGCCGGTTATCCTATAAGAGAAACATGAAAACACGTAAGTTTAGGTCGAATACTTGTATCAGTATAACATATAGAACGATCATCGAACTTTCAGTAGAAAGTACCGCGAGTTTCCCTTCGAGCGATATCCATTCTATCGCATAGCAAGTATCTTTTTTCCAATGTATATGTATATGTGTCTGTATGTATATATATATCTGTGCGTGTGTATGTGCAAAAGCAAAGAGAACCGAATGGTTATCCTTGAAAGTACCATCTAGGTTTTTACTTTTCAGATTGTCGATCCGTACTGATACGTGAACGCGTAGATATAACCTAAAGGGTGGAGTTCAAATCGAATTTCAAAAAAAAAGAAAAAAAGAAAAAAAGAAATGTACTGTATATTTTTTTTTTTTTTTTTTTTTATTATTCAAACCCTTTACGATCTTATGAATGTAATGAATGTAAATGAAATAAAAATAAAAATGAATGTGTTAAATGAAAATAATGTAGTATTATTTAATAATCGTGAAATCGTATGAAAATATACTTATACAAAATAATAATAATAATTATTATTATTATTATTATTATTATTATTATTATTATTATTATATATTTAATATTAAATATAAATTATATTCAATATTAATATATTTAATATATTAAATATTAATTGAATTATATTTAATATAAAACATTTACAAATTTTTTATGTATGTATGTGTGTGTGTGTGTAAATCCGTGCGTTTGTAATTTTCTAAAAAAAAAAAAAAAACTCTTAACCATCACATCGTACTATCCAGATGAAATTTTGCATAATTTGTCTGAAGTATGATGAGAGGATGATAAAGTTTGAAACTACTTAACACACACTCATACACACACGTTCCCACATATATAAATTATTTAAAATTTCATTTAGTACGAAGAAAAATATTCTATAGTATAAATTATTTTTATTATTACTAATAACAAATCAAATAATTTATTTCAATCACTAACGTAAATCAAAGCAATCATTTTCAATGATTTCGAGAACTATCATTCCCGTTAATCTCTTCGTTATTCGTTTTGATCATGAACGGATTTAGATTATAAGGGAGAACAGAAGGATCGTAGTAGGGTGGGCGAGTTGTAAGAGAAGTACAGAGAGACAGAAAGAGAAAGAGAAAGAGAGAGAGAGAGAGAGAGAGAGAGAGAGAATAGGAATACGGAGTTATCGACTAAACCGCATGTAAACGGAAGTCGGTCTTCTAATTAAAACCGGATGACCCATGGAAACAGCCGGTCTCGTGGTATTCAACTGTGGTCTCCAACCTACTACCCCCAACCACCTACCTACCTACCTACCTACCAAGCCCCCCTCTAACCCCCTGTCTCTCTCTTTCTTTCTCTATCTCTCTTCTCGGTTGAACCCAGAAACAGACACTAACCCTCCCCCTCACCCTCACTCTCTCACCACCACCACCACCACCCCCACCTCACTTCTACCGATAGTAGTCGTTCGCAAGAAAGCAAGATTATCACAGGCCGTGTGTGAATTAACTTATCGATAATACCAAATGCCTTTGTAATTTTCGACCCATTCCTAATCGACGTGTTCGTTTTAAACTACGTTATACTAACGTTTAACTACGACTTCGTTAATTATTTTCTAAAAAAGAAAAAAAAGAAAAAAGAGGAACACGCTTGACTATGGAACTCTTTAAAAAAAAAAACAACAGAAAAAAATTAACTCAGAACTTTTATATATCAAATTTTCTACGAAGGTGAAATTAATCGAATATCATTCGATTAAAGAAAGTATCTGTAAAGGATTTTTTTTTTTTTTTATTTCTGTTTTTAATTTTTTCTTTTTTAAACCACAATTTATTTCAACTTGATTATTTCCGATGGGTGTTAATTAATTAAAAACGATACGTTTAATAAATTGATCAAATATTATACTGTATTCATATTTATTATCCTTTTACTGTATTTTATATATATATATATATATATATATATATATATATATAGATAAAAGGATATTTTTTTTATATTATTAAAACTAATTTTTGTTCAAGGGGAAAAATAAAAATTAATATTCCAATACTATGAAATTAATTTTATAATTATATGTGACAAATGTTTTACAAAATTACACAAAAACTTTTGTATCTATAAATTGCGAATATTTCAAATAATTTTGCGATCTAAAATATAAATATTTTTTTTAATAGGAAAAAAATGTAATTATTTGAATTTTATCCTAATAAATATTTAATTATAAAATTACAAAATTAATAAAACAAAAATTTGTGTACAATCTAAATTTTGATCTAAAATAAATATATCTAATAAAAATAAGAAAAAAAATGATGATTAAAAAACAAAACAAAAATATAATTGTGCCCATAATTATGAAAGTGATGATCTAAGTCAAAATTAAAAAAAAAAAAAGAAAAAAAAATGAGTTTATCAGTTTAACAATTAATGAAATAATTACATTAAATAAATTCAATGTAATTTTCACAGATATATTGTCAAAAATGAATTGTCACATAATATTTGTTATTTCAATAATATACAGAATTTATTAAATGTTTCAATCTTTTTCTAATCCTTCTAAATATCTCGAAACAAAAGATCCATAACATAAACCATTTTCATAATTATAAACACATATATACATGTATACATTTTAAAATGAATTTGAAATAAAAAAAAATATTTAAAAAAAATAAAAAATAGAAAAAAAATTTGTTATAATTGAATGAAATATTTGTTATAATTGAATGAAAATCAAATGACGTTAATTAACATTAAATAGAGAAACATCAACGATACGGGGTGAATGTTGTTTAATCGTCTTCTAACGTCTCTAATGTATCGTACAAATTGTAACGTTTTGTTCAAACACATAGCTACAATTGAGATAGGGAAATAGCTATGAGAAACAAGAGGGATATACTTTGAATATCTCGATTCACAGTTGGTACGTGGCTGTAGGGTATGTATATCTAAAATACATCGAGCGTGTAAAGTCCGAAACTGTCCCCCACTCCACCAATCTCCTATCACCGAAATGCTAACTTATCAGAACAACAATCTTTTCAATGCAAATCATTCAATCTTTTTTTTTTTTAACGCAGAATATAAAAAAAAAGAAATCGTATAGTGTAAAAAAAAAAAAGAAAAATATAAAATTCCATTAAAAAAAAAAAAAAAAAACGAATCGAATAGTGTAAAAAAAATGTATAAGGTTTCATTTTTTAAAAAAAAGTGCAACTGCATTTAGCGGGTGCATCGATGCATTTTCAAAAAAAGGAAGGGAGGGCATTGAAAGTTGACATTTGTTGTGTCATATGACTTTTTTTTTGATGATTTTTTTTCTATTGTTATTTCAAAAAAAAAAAAAAACAGTTATTACCAGCCTAAGTTTCAAGAATCATCCTGTATATAAGTTGAGTTACTTTAATTACAAAAGGTAACACAAATTATTATCATAATTAAGTTACCTAACATAGAAAATACGAAAAATGGTAACAAATTATTACCATAATTAATTTACCAAAAATACAAAATACAAAATACAAAAAAAGTTAACTAATTATTACCATAATTAAATTACCTAAAATACAAAATACAAAATACAAAAAAGGTAATCAATTATTACCATAATTAAATTACATAAAATACAAAATACAAAACACAAAAAAGGTAACCAATTATTACCATAATTAAATTACATAAAATACAAAATACAAAATACAAAATACAAAACACAAAAAAGGTAACAAATTATTACCATAATTAATTTACCAAAAATACAAAATACAAAAAAAAGGTAATTTAATTATTACCATAATTAATTTATCTAAAATACAAAATACAAAAAAGGTTACAAATTATTACCATATAATTAAATTACCAAAAATACAAAATACAAAAAAAAAAGTTAACAAATTATTATCATAATTAAATTTACCTAAAATACAAAAATACAAAAGAAAGAGAAAAAAAAAGAAAGCATATATATTTATAAAATACATTTTAAAAAAAAATAAAATAAATAAAGAAAGAAATTAATAAATGATCCTACACAAAAGAATGTTCTAATAAGAGTCTCTTATCTTATCACAAGACAAATCAAGAAACAAGTTTTAACAAAGAAGCCCAGAATAATAATACTAATAATAATAATAATAATAATAATAATAAGGACACTTTGATCATTTTGGTTTTAGTATCTTACGTTGAAGAGACGAAGAATATATTATACCAGAGAGAAAAAGGATGAATAACAAGGTAACCAAGTCTACAAACGCTCCATCGGCTTTTCGAAGAACAGTTTAATCCTTTTTAATTAAATGCTCCTTCGATCATCCTACATCCTAACCCTCCCATGTACTACTACTACCACTACTATTACTATTACTACTACTAATACGTATTACTAATTTTCTCTTCTTTATCCCATGTTTTTTCAGATCCTCTTTATATCTTTTTTCTTATCGTTAGAAAACTTTCTTTTACAAGACCAACCGACCATTTTCTTTCTTTAAAACCTTCCTAAGATTCACGTTAAAACGTAACACACCCCTTGGTTAAAACTTAAATATATAAACGTCGTAAGTATTTTTACGAGTATATATATATATATATACATATACATATATAAATACGTATGTGTATGTTTATTTGATTTGATTATTATTTGTCTTACCTTAACCAATGTCTTTTCGTTACAGGTGTGTGGCAACATATGGCATCGTACTGATCGGCGATCCAAACTATCAATATGATGTAAAATGCAGTTGTGGTATCATTAAAGAACTCCGACATGATTGCTTCCATACCTGTAATAAAAACAATAAGTACTACCCTGTAATAAATAAATAAATAAATATATATATATATATATATATTAAAAATAAAATATATTATTACATTCATTAATTTTATATTAATATTTATATTTATATTAATTTTAATATTTTATATATTAATTTATTAAAATAAATATATAAAGTATATATATTATATTATATTAGAAATAAAAAATATATTATTACATTTATTAATTATAAAATAAATTATATATATATTATAATATAATTCATTAGAAAATATATAAATAACAATTATAAAATATATTAGAGAGAAATAAAAATAATTTCTAAAAAAAAAAGAAAAGTATATTTTTTTTTTGAAAATAAAAGTCTAAATAAAATTATTTTATCTTTTTAAATTATTTTTCTAGAAAATTATTTGTAAAAAAGTAAAAGAAATAAAAGTTGAATAAAATTCATATGATATTTTTCAAATTTACGTTTTGATTGTATATCTCTCATAGGAAGGTACAAGAAGAAGAAAAAGAATAAATCGATGAAAAAAAAAAGAAGAAGAAGAAGGTTCTTTTTTTTTTCGTATACGAAAACAATGAGAAAAAAGTAGGAATGATAGTGACTAATGATCCTATGCTGTTAAGTTTATAAGACTCGATGTTACCTACCCTCTTCTTAACCATTTACTATCTTTCTCTTTCTTTCTTTCTTTCTTTCTTTCTTTCTTTCTTTCTTTCTTTCTTTCTATCTTTCTTTCACTAAACAAGGATAGACTTTCTAAATGTGACTTTCCTTTGTAATCAGAAAACTCACAACGTCGCTCGGTTTCTTCACGATCGTTCGTTTCTTTTCAAAACGTTGAATAAAATTAATCTTATTAATGACACGTGTGTGTGTGTGTGTGTGTATGTTTGTATTATTATACATAACTTGAACATTACACGAGTACACTTAAAAAAAAAAAAATAGAAAAAAAAAAACAAAAAAAAAATGGAAAATCCAATAAACAATACTTTCGTGGAATCAAAAGTTTAAATAGTAAAGTACAACCTTAATCATGACAAACTCGAAACAATTCGTATACGAAGCGTATAATCGATATTCTCCCTCTCTCTCTCTCTCTCTCTTTCTCTCTCTCATTCTAGCAACACCGGTTACCATCGAAGATTCGTTCGAGCGCAAGCTGTACTGCTATTAATCGAATAGTTTCCACGCAATTAAAAGTCCGACAGATGGGTACCACGTGATTCGTTGAACGTTTTCCACGATAAAATATTATACCTGAGCTTATNCGCCCCCTCCAACAACCCCGCGCACACCCCCTCACCACGCCTCATCTCACCTTCACAGCCCCCGTTTATGTGCGTTAAAACGAGACGATGCATGACTCCAATGGTGATGGTGTTGGTGTTGGTGATATGGTGGTAGGTGGATGGGTGGTGATGGTGGTGGTCGTCGCATAGCGAATACACTCGTTTTTACGTCCGTGCGAAAACGCACCACATTGAGCCTCTCTCTTAAATCTCAACGTAGTTACACGGAGTCGATTACGATTCGATTGCAATTTAAATTATGAGATAACTGACTCGATTACAGTTTATCTCTATTTCTATTTCTATCTTTCTATCTATCTATCTATCTATTTCTATCTCTCTATCTCTCTCTGTATATATTTTATTATATTGTATTAATTTTTTTGTAATAATATTTAACAAAATAATGAAATTTAAAATAACAATTTAAAATATATATATATATATAAGAGCACATGTAGAAATTGCAATAATATTTCGAGATTGGAACTAAAAATGTCTCACCGTGCATTACGATCTATCAAAAAGATTGGACACTTTGAACCTTTGCTTTTACCACACTTGGTCCAAAGAACCCAAAAGACCTTTTTTACAACTTAACGTCATTTTTCTCAATTGTTCAACTTGAGTAATTTTTGAAAAAATATTTACATTTAATTTAAAACTATAAAACCAATATAATCTTTTTAAGTAAGTATTAAAGAAGTCTCAAAAAAAAAAAAAATGTTGAAGTAAATCTATGCAATAGTTTGTTTTTTTTTATAACAATTTTTCCATTTTTTTCCGGGTCCAAAAGACCCGGGTGTGGTAAGCGTGTTTTACTCAAGGAAGGGTGGTAAGTAAAGGTTAATCCCCACCGTGCCTTAAAGAGTTAAACGAAAAAAAAAAGGGCCCTTTTTTAAGTTAAATAAAAACAACAGGTAAAACACTTACTTAGAAAAAATGCAAAATAAGAGAATTATAAGAAAAAAGAAAAAAAGAAAAAAAGAAAAAAAGTATCGTAACATTATACGTCTAATATAATAATGATTGTGTATGAGTGTAACTATATCTAATGGCGTGTTTCCTAATGCATTGTAACGATATGGAAAGCCACGGGGGAGCACACGGAAATAATAAAAGGAGTACCGCCATGGTAGGGCGTGTCGTCGGCAGGTCACGAGAGTGTAAAACGAGTACGTTGAAAAATACCCCAACTTCCCCCCAACTTCCCCACCCCACCCCCCAACTTTCCCCACTTTCCAACCCCCAAGCCTCGTCTGAAATGTGATTAATAACGCTCCTGTATAAGTTGACATGGTTGCAAGTAACATTGACTTCTTAATTCTATCCTGTCACAGTAAAAAAAAAATATATATATATATCAAATTACCGATAAGTATAAACAACTCTTTTGCGATTAAACAAAACGATATGTAAATATAACTGTTAAAACAATTTATAGAAAAATAAAAACACGATTATGCATTATTACTATTATTATTATTGTTATTATTATTTTATTTCTTACTTGACGATCATTTTCTTTAAACGTTATTATTTTTATTTCAAATTAAAATTATATTGAAATTTTGTTCATTTATCAATAATAAATCTTAATATTCGAATATACAGTTTGTATAATAACGATAATTATATTTTAAAATAATTCTAAATAATGTCAATTTAAACGTAACATTCTCAATTTTTATATGTTATATTAATAAAAATATTAATATGTATAAACTTTAATAATTTAATTTAAATTATTTCTATTATTTTTAATTTAATTTTAATTATATTTCATTTTACTCTTTAATATTATTATAATATTACTATTATATTAATAGTAATATTAATATGTCATTAATAATAATATTGATATATATATTATATTAAATAACTAATATAGTATACTAATAACTATTATATTTATACTAAATAAATAAATTGAATAAAAATTAAAAACTAATACATACTAATATTTACATAAATATATATTAATATTAATAATTATATAATTTTTGTATAATTGTTCACGTGTAGTTAAAGGTATTTCGTATACAAAGAGAAACAACGACAGTTGTAACACCAATGGCATTAGAATTCTTAGAGATCCCTGTTTTCTTCGTGTTTTGTGTCACCTTCTGTCTCGGGATCAAGAAACTAATTATCCGACGTTTCGCCCTTAGTCTCCGGCTCATTTATCCTCCTCTTTCCGACTACCTTTATCCACTAGGCACACCGTCATTCTTACCAACCCCCTTCTCCCACCCCTACAATACCACGTATAATATACTCTTGGTGTATTCTTTTTCTTTCCTCTCTCTCTCTCTCTCTCTCTCTCTCTCTTATTTTTCTTTTCTTTTTTCGTTTGCTTTGTTTCCCTTGTAATATTTTGTAGGAAAAAGAAAAAAAAAACTGAATCTTCTCGAAAAAGGTTTTTTTTTTTTTTTTTTTCTTTGAAACGAATTATTATTTTATTAATTTGTTTTATTAATTTGAGATAACACAGCATAAATATATAATAATAATATTAATATATATATATTTTATATTTTTTATATTTGAAATTTATTAATATTTCTAAATTTGTGTATTCTAAATTTTAATTAAAATTAAAATTAAAATTTAGAATAAACAAATTGAAAAATATTAATAAATTTGAAATATACAAAATATTAATAATTGAAAAATATACAAAATTTACAAAATTGTTCTCTCATCTCACGATAAAATTATACTAACACTAATATATATATATATATATATATACAAATATAAATAAAACTACATAATATTAAATAACAATTAAACTTTTTACAATATATTATTAAACAAAATGAAATAATATTGATATTAATATTATTCTTAAGTAAACGCAAATCATATATATGAAATGTTGTTAATATTTTTTTTAAATGAGATTGTTGTTACTCGATTATATCAAGAATCTTCATTTGAGATTCGATTAAAAATGGTGACATTGCCTAGACATGAATCAGTTCTTTCTATATCGAGTGTCCCTCATGCCGAAAGGGCTTCTTACGTCGGATAATGTCCGGATAATGCACTCATTTAAATGCATGCTAGCCGAGCATTACTTCACGTTGGTAAGCCAAGGGCTCCAAGAGAAAAACTAAGAGAGAGAGAGAGAGAGAGAGAGAGAGAGAGATAGAACCAAGTGTATTAGGTCTGATCGTAATAATGGTACCCTTTTTTCCCTAGAAACTCTACTTTTCCTTCATATAAAGACGGTTCCATTTGGAAATTTGCTGACAACGAAATACCATAAGAGAGAAAACAAAAAAAACAAAAAAAATATCTTCTCGATTTCGATTTGAACAAACCAACCCAGAAATCCCTAAACACTCAACGTCACTTAGTCCATTTCAAATACAATATAAATGAACTTTTACGATCGATTTTAATATTGTAAATGCAAAAGTATATTGGATATTATGTAACAAATGCAAGGAAGGAAGTGTGTAACGTGGTTTGTCTGAAGGAACGAAGGCTAATAATGTGGTTTAATCAATGGTCGAGTTATGCTACCGACATTGACTACACCCCAACCACTAACAATTTCGCACAGACCTCGAAAATCAGCGCGATCTAATGGACATAATATTTCTCGTTGACCGGCCACAATGTCCTTTGAGTATCGTTCAAAGCTTGTGACCATTACAGAATATGTATGCTAATATATTATTAAATATATAATAGAGTTGTGTGTGTGTGTGTGTCTATGATATTCTAAAAAAAAAAAAGAAAATATACTAAAATGTAAATGATTAAAAAATATTACACGAGTATTATATATTAAATATGGTTTCGAAATAAGTTAGTTTTGTTAAATAATTATTTTATTATTATAATGTTAATATTTTTATATTTTATGTTACTTCACTAAAAAAAAAAAGATATACCTAGGTTTATTCTATTATATATTATTTTTATATACTATACATTTATATATTTTTACTATATATACTTATACATTATTTTCATCTTCTTAATGTTGATAGATTACGTGTCACGTTGTTTGTCCGCAATGAACTCCTAAACTACTGAACCAATTTTAATCAAATTTTACATACTGTGTGCAGTTTCATTCAACTTGAAAGATAGGATAGTTTATAATCTCAATTTACAATCGCAATATTATTTTAACTTAAAGACGTGTGTATGGGACTGATTGTGAGCCACAGCAACGCGTGGGCTGGGCACCCCTATAACTGTGAAGTTTGTGAGTGATCAAATATTGTGAAATGGAATAAACATATCAAGTATAACAACGATATTTATTATTTATGAGAGAGAGAGAGAGAGAGAAAGAGTGAGTGAGAGTGAGTAGCATAATTCTCTTCACATACGTGGCCATTACGTACCATCAGAAACACCATCGACACTTTGTTGACAGAGATACACACCTCACATTTGTACCATGTACCTCTCTACAAATTTCTACGACTGCACAACTACGACGACCAATGACCACCACTGGAAATTTCATCAAACATTTCCACCGGAAACAACGATCCCAACAGCTGTACGTTTGACAAGCAGCCTGTTTTCCTACGTTTCAAGCTAGCGGTCAACTCTTCGTGTGTGTGTATGTGTGTGTGTGATGGTGGCCTCTATTATATACGTGTGAATAACGGTTTTGAAAGTTATTTTCCACGTGTGTAGGTACCATTTCTCGAATTACTCGAAATACTCTTCAAACAATATAGATTCTAACAATGAATATATTATTTTATATCATATCATCCAATTCTTCTTTTTTTTTTTCTGTTTTTCTGGTTTTTTTTTTTTTTTTTTTTT